AACAAATTGCAGCAGTTCCTTCTTATCCACGGTTTCACTTGCCATGGTTTTAGTTATCTGTAGACAACAGGTCCAAAAATATTAAATGGAAAATTCCAAAAATAAACAATGCATTGGTTTTAAATGACATACCTTTCTGAGTAGCGTGATGAAGTCTCAGCTGCCTACCTCTATCCCGCCAGGATGTGAGTCATTCCTTTGTCCAGCCTATGTATGCTGTATGAGGTGTGATCACAAAATGCAGTGAATGTTTAAATTAAAACAAAAAAAATTATTACACTAAAAGACACATTGCCACTAGTCCCACTCAAACCCCTACCCCCCCTCACTTTGAACACACTTCTCCCATCATTCTTGCCACTTTCAGAAGCAGTTCTGGAAGTCCTCTTTCATGAGTGTCTTTAGTTGCCTCGATGTGCTGAATCAATTCAAAACATTTACCTTTCATGGACATTTTGACTTTGAGGAAGAACCAGAAGCTACACTGTGCCAGATCCAGGGAATAAGGTAGATGAGGACACACCATAATGTTTTTATTGGACAGAAATTGCCATACAGAAGCGGTGTGTGACACCGATATCCTTTCTGTTGTGATCAAAACATAAGGCGAATGCTGCTGAGTGCCATCCATGGAAAGGCAGGGATCTTCCACACGGAAAGTGGCGCGTTGAACTTTAGTAACAGTTTGTGAAATGTTTTAACTTCTTTGGTGCAGTCAGTCAGGTGAGAGCTCCGGTTGAGAGAAAGTGTGTTTTAAAGTGTGCTGTAAATCATCCTCCATCATGACAACGCTCTGTGTCACACATCACTTCTGGTCTACCAGCAATTTCTGTTAAATAAAAACATTATGGTGTGTCCTCATCCACCCTATTCACTTCTGGCTCTTCACCAAAGTAAAAATGATTCAGGACATCGAGGCAGCTACAACAGTGCAACTAAAGGCATTCATGAAAGAGGACTTCCAGACTGCTTCAGAAAATGACAGGAATGATGGGATAAGTGTATCCAAAGCGAGCAGTAGTATTGAGGGGGATTAGTGTCAATGTGTCTTTTACTGTAATAATTTTTTTTTATTTGAACATTCATTGTATTATTTGATCACACCTCATATATGTGCCCCACCCATCAGTCACTTAATAGCCCACTGGGTTTATCATATCGACGGTATCACAGTACTTGTGTCAAGTTACCCTTGTTTTACTTACTGCCACATTCACGTAACTGTTATTTCGGTATATTGTTGTAACTGTTCTATTTTATTATTAGTTACTGTTCACCTCTTGTGACTAATTTATAAATTAAACTTCATCATAGGTATGTTTGCATAGGAAAAAACATAGTATATACAGGGTTTGGTACTATCCACTGTGGGTCTTGGAACATTTCCCCATGAATAAGGGGGGGACTACTATAGGTAAGAAAAAGAAATAAAACATAAATATTATAAAGGCAAATAGTACATTATGCCATTACTTATAAAGAATATCATTCTATCAAGAAAATGCAAAGTAATTAAAAGGAAAACTATTAGAACTACTATAAGAATGAAAAGCAAGGTGGTTAAATATCAGATAAACAATAAAAATCTAATAGAACAGCAGTAAAAAATGCAAAATCTAGTTTCAAATGTCATATTCACAATAACCAATTGATATTATCAGAGGTAACCATAACACAACGTGTAGAATGATGTATGGAAAAATGATAAAAAATGTAGTGAATAACATAGAAGGTGATCTAAATAACAGAGAGACACAGCAATGACCTCTGAGGAAAACAGGTATCTATGTGTAAGATTAGATATCCAAGCTGACACTAGGTCTTGGGTAGATGGTACTTACAGGCTTGTAAGTGTCTTGTGCAGCTGGT